GACAGCCAAATGGAGACCAGAAGGAGGAGCATCCCAGGCAGAAGGAAGACAGCTTCTGAGACGATCTCAAGGCCAGAGTGAGCTGGGCTTGTTTGGGGAGCAGAAAGAAGGCGAGATGGCTGGAGAGTAATGTCCAAGGATGACAGTGTACGACATGAGTCCCAAGAGGTAGCCTGGATGGATAGATGGATGGAGGGAACAACAGAAGGGGAAAAGAAATAAATGGTAAGAGTGCTAATTTTAGGTTAAGCAAAGATTCTTTTACATGTTGATCTTTCTGGAAGTTCTCCATTAGTCCATATTCCTGCCTTAGCAAGTACTGAAGAATGAATATAACACTTATTATTCAATATTTTAAGAAGATGCCATCCCTCAGGTTATCACCTTAAATTATCAATGACCACAGGGTAGCACTGAAAAAAACAATTTGCAGAAAGTGTAACAAAGTGGGATGATTAGATATTAATTTCAAGAGATACCCAGAAGGTGGATTTTCAGTAATACTTGATTTGAGTCTGCTTTGTGCTGATTTGCCCCTTTCTTCTCATGGAATATAAAGGATATTCTGAGTTAATTAAAGATTCACAGTCACTGATTCTGATTAATCAATGTTTTCTGGTACCAAAAGAGTGATTTAAATGATTCTCAAATTTCTCTTATCTTCTAATATTTATCTGTTATGTAATATTTTATTATACGTATATTTTCAAAAGCAATGTATTTTTACGGTTGTTGGAACTGAAAACTAAGCAATTAAATAGTAAATAATGAGGTCCACTGCCCTCTGTGACCTCACGGAAATCAGACCATCAATCAAAATCTCAGTTCCTCCTGCAAAAACTGGGATACATCCTTGGTCTCCACTAGAATCTCAATAAAGAGCTTTGATTTTATTGGACAAAGATATTTTTATAATTATAACCTTTTATTTTAAAAATTTAAATTGGAGCCAGATTTTAAAGTTTTACATTACACTGACTCTATGATTACTCTCATGTCACCCATTCCCAACCAGCAGCTTCTTTGTCTAAAGTCCGCAAAACTGTCAACAACCACATCATGTAGCGGTAGTTTGAATTCACACACACTTTCTCTCAGCAGTCACAATGCCCTGTCCAGAAATATTCATTAGTAATTGTCTTTGCATCTATCAAATGTAGATTAAGAGGATTTGATTTTAACAAGATTTTATTTACCAACTAATTAGAGTGAGAATTTATTACAAGTATGACAATAATTAACTTAGAATTCATAGATCAGTATAGCTCTTCTGGTTATAAGAAAAAATCATTTTTCTCCATTTCTATGGGCCTTGGTTTGCACAGCTACTTATTATCAGTCATTGCTATTAATTTCACATTTTTACTTATTCTTTTTTTCCCCAGACATTTGAATTCTGCTGTTGTCAATTTCACAAAGGTCTTTTAAAGATAATTTCACTATGGACCAAAAGCAGTCGTTTAAATAAGCATTTGGTTCTGACAGCTTTGCTCCTGATACTTTTCACATCAGCAGCTAGGAGAGCATTTCACCATCAGTCTTTCTTTGTTATGCTTTCTTTTTTTCCTCCAATCAAAGTAAATATGTTCTTACAACCAGAATTACCCTGCAAAATTTTCCTCATGCTTAATGAATGTGACCCTCAGTAAAATGAACGACAACAAACCAATGAAATCCTGATTCTCCCTTAAAGAACAGAAAGTTATTACACTATTTCGTTCATATATTAGTCAATGCTGTCTCAGTATTATTCTTCTGTCAAGAAACTAAAGCTTCTTCACTGACATGATGATTTGATCATTAGCAGGTCAAGCAAAAACTTACACTTGAAAATACAATGTTTAGAAAGCACAAATGCAACTAACTATACATTTCTATCTCCAACATTTTCAAAGATAACTTCACTCTTCTTATTCTTCCATTAAAAACAAAAAAATCTGTTGTCTTAAGATAAAAGGGCCACAAAACTCCAAGACTTAATCCTTGCTTCAGGCTAATGACAAAAAATATTTTTCATTTTTAGTTCACATCTTGAAAAAAATTCCCTTGACAGAAAATGTTCTGAACTAGACTCTGAAAGGCAAATGTATTTGCTTCATTTATGTTTTTCAGGATGACAAAGGAGAGAAGAGGAGTCAAGAAGAAACATAAAAAATTGAACTAAAATGTATCTGCCTCAAATATTAAAATTTTTTTAGCATACTGAACAACTTCAAATTTCAAATTTTAGTAAATATTTGAATGACAGAACACCTTGCTGTTTTACACCCAGGGTTAAAAACCATATCATATTTATTTCCAGTCATGTCACTGAACTGCTACTGCTTTCTGGACTGCAAATAAACGACCTATTCATAATAATGTGACATAGTTATGTATGATTGATTGGTATGAAATAGAAAGGGACTTTGTCCTCAGCATGGATTAGAACAGGGCCTGTCCAGTGCATGCTGTCTGTCCATCTGCAGCTAGCCAGCTAAATTACTGATTGCCCTTCTGGTAAAAGACCCAACAGATTTTTCTCAGCATAATTTCCACTCTTCAATAAATTACCAATCTCAATTGACTCTGTTTTACGACATTTCTAGATTCCAATTCATTATAATACAATGACTTCAACCTTATCTTGAACTTTAATCTCATCATGGTTTTTCAAGTTTCAGGGAATAAAAGATAGGCAGACAAAGTGCTCCTCAACTTCTACTCCTTTTACAGAAGAAAACGCTACTGTTGACAAACCAACGAGTAGTTTAGAAATCTTCCTGACTGCACAAACCTTAAAGCTTTTCCTTTCCTTTGCTTTTTCCTCCCATTTCAATAATTAGGCCAGGGAATAAAGAAAGGAATTTCTAGTCCAGTAATCATGCTCCACATCCTATAATTTTGTTGCTGTTTCTCCCCTAGCCTAATAGCTCCATTAATCAGCAGGAAAAATATGCAGCAAACTATCTATACATCCTAGTATTATCCCCAGTGGAGGGCTGAGAATTAGAAAGTTGCTTCTAAAAAAACTCCCATTACAGTAAAGAACAATGGTGGCATGCCAGGGACTTCAGAGCTGTATCAGTGTTACTTTGGGTTAGTTGGGCTTTGGTTATAACTAAGCCTAGGGAAAATTTGGTGAATTTACCTAATGAATGAGCTTTCATTTAAAAATTGCCTTTCTGTTCAGCCAAAGCCTTGCTTCCAGGGTAGTTAAGGTCAGTCTGAGACACATGTTTACCTAGATAATTTCAGTTATTTACCCTACTTTTTTATGAATTACTAATTCTTAAAAAAATTAAAAACAGGTCTAATTCACTAATATATTGACAATGCACTTTATTTTGCACACTGCAATTTCTATTGATAGTTCTGTTTCCTTTGTTTCATGAACTCGTCCTTTTGATCACATTGATTCTAACAGTCCCATTTTTTTTTGATTGGTATCACAGAGGCAGCACTTTGTATTACTCTATATGAAGGGCTAAAATAATCATTCAGTTGTTTGAAAATTAGTTTAAATCTTAATATATGCATTTTAAGCATTTTGAAATAATGAAAATACATTCTGAACCTTCCATTTTTTCTCAAATTCAATTCACAGGAATTCTGATTTCATTACTGAATAATCTAGATATTCTATATGACAAACACATGAAAAGACTATTGTATCATTAAGAGTTTGTTCTGCATGTATACCATTATGTGTTAGTTATGCAAATAATTGGTAGATCTCTAATTCACATTAATATTTTCGCTACAAAATCAATAATGAACAAAAATTACTAGTAAGTGAAAAAAGCTTTACTTGTAAACTTAGTCTGCATATTAATTGATATGATACACATTTAATAATAAATATTCACAAGACTTAGAATGTGGGTAAATAAATGGACTAAAATAAGACAGAACTGAAGTTATGACTAATCCCAGTAACAATTTCCCACTCTATATCTGCATATAAAATAGATTGTAATTCCCTGGTATCATTAATTATTTTCTTTTTAAGCAAAAGTAATTTACTATTAAATATTTAAAGAATCAAAATAAAAATCACTTCTGAAAATGCAAATTATTTAAACAGATGGCAATTGCTACACATCTCAAAGGAGTTTTAACTTTGCTACTTTTTAAAAAATAAAGCTGTAAAGCAACTTATACACATCTATGCCCAAATAAGACTTGATTTGAACCTAGGCTACCTTAACATCAGTAGATCTAAGACATTTGTATACATTTCATATTTGATTTTAAACTAATTTAACTACAACCACAGAAGAAAACATTTGCACTCAGTACTTTGAGATATATCCTTCAACAGGTTTTGTTCCTCTCCCCTACCTACCACAATTTAGGGCCTTACTGAACAGTTTCAACACACTTTTCTTAGAAATTGATGAAAATATACCTTTCTTCCTAGTTAAGACTGCTAACAGCAGAAAGATATGTGATGTTGGAAATTTGGTGACAATACCAAGTTCGATCTAAACATAAGTACACTGTTTTCAGCTGCAATATTTCAGGCTACCAGCAAATATAAATCCTGATGGCCATAAGGAGACTGCATACCTCCCCATGTGGAGCACTTCCTTCATTCTAACCAACACTGGCAGTAGGAAGAAAACTAGCAGGCACAAACTACTGGAATGCGCCTGCAGGTGCCCCAGACTTAACTCTATAGATACATTTAGAGAAAAGTGGAGAAAACTGGCTTTTGCAGATGAAAGGCCTCAGAAGGCCTCTGTCAAAAGACATCTTATGATTAGAGAAGGATTAAAATGAAAGTAAGCATCTTTGTTGGTGGAAATGGGCACTGACAAAATTGGGTCAATATTCTGAGCTTTTCTCCCTACACGTGTCTGATTGGATCCAAGGTAAGCTGCAGCAAAGAATGAACAACATCAGAAAGTACAGGTCAGCTTATGGGTCAGGGGGACATAAGAAGCCCAAGAACACAGTACCTATTTCTCTTTTTTGTTCTTTTAGAAACACAATCAAACCACATAAGAACCCTCAAATTTCAGCAGGTAACAAGACCAAAAAATTATTTTTTAATGCTAATATACCAATTCTAGATATCAACAACTTTGAACATTTTGGACCTCACATTTTCCACAAGAATCTGTTGTAACGGGTATCATTCACGTATCTATCACAAAGATTTGATACTAAGATGCTCTGATCAAATCCTGGATAGATGATCAATTCTCTACAAGTTATTTGTTTCCCGAAGATCTTTCTGTGCCAATGTCTGAAATGAAAACATATATTAGTCATGAGAAAAATAAGATTCTTAATAAAGGGGTTATATAAAATTCATGTAAATTTAGTACAACAATAACTGGGCATTTCAAAATTTTATTTTTGAAACTTTTTATAAATATATAAATCTTATAAAATACAAATCCTAACATAATCCATTGGGAAATTTTAAACAAGAAAATGTTTACAGGAAATAAACATGGAGCTATATTTTAATACACTTTAAAGCTAGCTATTTATGTCTTCTATTAAAACAGAGCATGACAAATACTGTGTTCATTTTATGAACAACCAAAGTAAGAGGTTAAAAGCAATTTAAAGTGCTCCCACACAATCTGAAGATAAGTTTCCAATAATTGAGTCCAAAGTTCCTTAGATCATAAAAATCAGTAATAAGAAAGTTGTAGGATCAAATATAATAAAAATATTATTTATAACTTACCAAAAACAAAAAGCTTTTAAGCACTATGATAGTTAAACTGTTTCAGTGCATTAATCCTCTAGTAACAGTTTTAGTCAAGGGGATGTTGTGAGGTCAGGTTTGAATTTTTTTTTAACTCAGTTTGAAATTGCACGTATTTTCTTTAAGTGCAATTTGCTTTATGTAGCATCTAACTCTCCAGGACTCAAAACATTCCACAGATTTATATCCTGACCTTAGTTTTGCTTGTTGCCGCTGTTTTGTGTTTTGTATCTAGTGCAAATCCGTGTGAAAGGCAGAACACTAGTTCAAAGAGACGTATACCAGTAAAACCATTCCTACCGGTAGGTAAAAAAAATGCTGAACCAATGTTAAACAATCAATGATGGCTTACCAACTCCAAAAATTCTATTTCTGTTTGGAGAGCATCATAAACACTTCGCATGTCATCTTCCTTATGAAGTTCTAACTCTTTTTTAAGTCTGTTTTAAAGGAAAAATTCACACTATTAATTAGCTCAGCAATAAACGTTTATAATAAATTCTTTATTACATGAATAGTGGCAGACTTACAGTTTCTATTACCAGAATTTCAAGTGAACATTAAAGAATTTGGAAAGAAATGTTAATTGTCTATAATTCTGTAAGGTCTACATAAAATTCTGAAAAAAATAACCCTCCCATAAAGAAAATAAGGTAGACTCAATAAATAATAGACACAACAATTTTAGTTAATTAAAAGAGCAATATGATTTAGTGGGAAAAATACAGTATTATCTGAAAACTTCTGCTTTAGTCCTGGCCACTGACAAATAACCTTGGCTGAAGCATCTTGTGTCTCTGAAGCTCACTTGAAAAATTTTAAGTATAGAACAAAGTGACTTCTTGAGATTTCCTCTTGCTCTAAAATTAAACATTAACTTTATGATACACATATATAATTAAAATATATTTTAATTTGAGAGGGAGAAAGTAATATCAATGCTTCTTTCCCCCAATTAAGTCTTTAACTCTTTGAATATTCTGAAATTTTTTTTTCAACAATTATCTCATGCCTAAATTTAAAGTAAAAAATAATGAATAAATAGTCTTCCATTTTTAGCATTTTGACTAATATCCTTCTAAGAAGAAAAACATAAGCAAAAGCCATGAGCTGTGGCTGGAGAGGTAGAGAGCTAGGGCCTGAGATGGGCAGCTAGGAAGGTGAGGCTTCCCTGAGGGTAGATACTAAGAGCAATATTACTCCACAAACCTAAGCAAGTTGACCCAGCCACCAGGTGAAAGTATGAATGAACTTGAACCTCAGCTACGCCCTGACCCTTAAGGAGTGGGTGAAGGGGTCCTAGGCCAGTGGCATTCTCCAAATGCTAGCAGAAGCAAAAGGAAATCCCCTCTGAAAGAAAGTTTAACATATTTAGGCCCATAGGCTTCCCACAGATTAAGAACAATGAGCTCACAATCAAAGATCACCAAGCACCCAATAAAGCAAGCCACTGTAAGGAAAAATCAGCAGAGACAATAAACAATGGATTATATCCATAATATGAAGAACTACGAGTCAGTAAGAAAAAGACAACACAAAGGAAAATGGGAACATACAAACACAAACATATTCACAAGCTTTTATTAGATTATTCACAAAAGAAGATATCCAATGACTAGTAAAAATACGAAAAGGTGCTCAACTTCATTAGTTATCAAGGAAACACAAAGGAAAAACATAATGAAGTGCTACTACATACCCACCAGAATAGCGAAAATGAAAAACAGGCAACTCCCAGTATAAACAAGGATATAAATAAACTAGAACTCTCAGACACTGCTGGCATAGGACATCGTTTTCCATTCTTTTACTTTTAACATATGTCTTTATAAAGTGCTATTTTTTGTAGAAACCATATATTTGTGTTTTACTCTTATTTAATATGATAATCTCTGTCTTTAAGTTGGTGTGTTTAGACTATTTACATTTAGTATAATTATTCATATGGCTGCATTAAAAACATAGCATTTTGCTAGTTGTTCTATATATGTTTAATCTGTTCTTTGTTCCTTTTTCCCTCTCTTTATGCCTGTTTTGGATTAAATTTTTTAATGATCATATTTTATCTCCTCTATTGACTTAATTTTTACACATATTTTAAAAATTGTGTAATGTGTGCACTGGTTTTATTACTATGCACTCTCAAATAATATACTACTGCTGAGTTTACATATGAGAATTTTATAAATGTGTATTTCCATTGGCATCACAAAATTTTCTTTTACATATACTGTAAACATAAAATACAATGTTACAATTTTTGCTTTAGTCATTTACCTTTTAGAGCAATTAAAAATGGAAAAAATAAGGCTTTTATATTCTCCTTTATTTTAACCACACTGGAGCTTTTATTTCCTTGTGTAGCTCCAAGTTTCTATCTGGTATTATATTCCTTCTTCCTGAAAAACTTACTATAGCCTCTTTTTTTTGTTATGTAGTCTATCATCAGGAAGAAAGTCTATAAACTCATATTTGTCCAAAAATATGGTCCTTTAAAATTTTTATAATAATCTTTATTTTGTATTTTATACAATTTTTAAAGGTTAAACTCTATTTATAGTTATTACAAAATATTGGCTATATTCTCCATGTTGTACAATAGATCCTTGTAACTTATCTTACACCCAATAGTTTGTCCCTCCTACTCTCTTACCTCTATATTGTCCCTGCTCTCTTTACCAGTGACCTCTAGTTTGTTCTCTATATTTTTGAGTCTGCTTCTTGTTATATTCACTCATTTGTTGTATTTTTTAGATTTCACATATAAATGATATCATACAGTATTTGTCTTTGCCTGTCTGACTTATTTCACTTAGCATAATGTCCTCCAAGTCATTTTTATGGCTGAGTAGCATTCCATTGTGTATATATATATATACCACACCTTCTTTATCTATTCATCTGTCAATGGACATTTAAGTTGCTTCTCTGTCTTGGCTACTGTAAGTAGTGCTGCTATGAAAACTGGGGTGCATGTATCTTTTCAAATGATAGTTTTATCTGGATATATGCCCAGGAGTTGGATTGCTGGATCATATGGCAACTCTATTTTTAGTTTTTTAAGGAAACTCCATACTGTTTTCCATAGTGGCTGCCCGAATTTACATTCCCAGCAATAGTGTAGTAGGGTTCCCTTTCCTCTCTATCCTCTCTAGCGTTTGTTATTTGTATTGTCTAAAAATATCTTAATTTGCTTTTGTTTGTGAAAGATTCCTTCACTGAGAACTAAGTTGATAGCTCTCACTTTCTATCTCCAAAGATGTCATTCCTTTATATTCTGGCCTGTATAATTTCTGATGAGAACTCAATTATAATTCTTATCTTCATTTCTTTGCATGTAGTGTCTTTCCATCTTTTTTTCTTCATGATTTCTCTTTATTTTACAGAGGTTTGCATATGATGTATATAAATGTTTGCTTCTGTTTTTTAATGCTGACTGGAGTTCTCTGAGCTTTTTGTATCTATGCTTTAAAGTATTTCATTATTTTTGGAAAATTCTCTGCCATTATCTCTAACATATGGAACAGTATAAAAGAATCTCAAATGCATTATGCTAAATAAAAGAAGCCAGACATTAGAGACTACTTAAAGTATAAGTGAACATTTAGTACATGTTAATTAAAGGTGGCACCTCAGATCACTGGGAAAAAGATGGACTTTTTAATAAGCTGTGGTAGAAAAACTGGGTAGCTATTTGTTACGTGGCTATAAATGGATAGTCAAAGCTAACATTGGATCTGTATTTCACAGCATGTACCAAAATACACTCTAATTGGATCAAAGATTTAAATGTAAAAAAATGGAACTATGTAAGGACAAAGTGAAAGCACAGGTAAATTCCTTTATAAGCTGGTTGTGGTCAAAAACTTTCTCAAAATATAAATGATATAAAAGAATATTAGATTCAATTACATTGAAAAAATTGCATAGCAAACACATGAGTAAAGTCAAAAGATGAATACAACGGAGAAAATATTTGCTACGGATATCACAGATAAAAGCCTAATCTTTCTAAAATATAAAGAAACTTTATAATCAAAGGAAAAAAAGACCAAAATTCTTATTTAAAAAAATGAGGAAAAGTCATAAATAGGGAGTTCACAGAAAAAAGTTTATCATCCCTATACATATGAAAATGCTAAATATTACTCATAATAAAATCATGTTCAATTTCACTTATAGTAAAAGCCTGAAAATTTACTATATAGGGATATCATTTCTCATCTATCAGATTGGTAAAACTCCAAAAACTGGATAACATAGCTTTTTGATAAGGTTGTGGGTAAACTGGTGTACTCAAACATTGATAGTGGGAATTTAAAATGGTTAAATCTCAATGAAGAAAGGCAACAGCTAATAAAACTACATTTATATTTTTCTTTTGACTCTACCTTTCCACATCAGTAATACACCCTATGAATACAAAAGAATACATGCACAAAGTTATTTATTGCATTATTATTTGTAATCACAAAATCCTGGAAACAATCTGTGTCCCTTCTTATGAGACTTGTTGAATAAACTATAGCTCACCAATATAATGGAGTATATAATGGATAGAAAAAGCATGAAGATGATCTCTTTTAACTAACATGGAGTGATTTCTAGCATACATTGTATATATTGTTAACTGAAAAACAAGATACAAAAGATTATATATAGTTAACATATGTGGAAGAGAAAGAGATACAAGAAAAAAATATATATATATATTTTGTAAAAAGAAACACAGAAAGGATAAACCAGCAACTAGTGAAAATGGTCACCTACAGCAGTGAGTGAAAATGAGGTGGAACAGATATGAAATGGAATGAAACTCCTCTGGATGTATCTTTTTATATACTTTTGACTTTTGAATCATGCTAATGATTTACATATTCAGCAAATAAAATTAAATAAAGTTGAAGAAAAGAACCATAGTTTGACACAAAATAACACTTGAGTTAAACACCAACAGAAACTAACAGAAACCTAACTGCATTTCAAATTTATAATCACAGAGAAAAATTAAAAAGAATAAATTCGAGTAATTTTCAAACACAGTAGTCTATGCACCCTCAGCAGGATATGTTGTAAGGCAGTAAGAATTACAAAAGAGTCTTAAATTTTATTTACTACTTTTGTTGTTTAGTGTAGGTACACAGCTAATAATTCTAATGTTACTTTGCAATATTATACAAAATGGATAATTACACTGATGTTGTTAGGAACCAGAGTATTCACTAGAAGAAGGAAGATATGCACAGAAATGGAGGGAGGAAATAGAGAAGCCCTGACATTTTGGATTTGAAAGGAAGGGATCAATATAAAAATCATAATTTTTAAAAAATGGTATTTTTATTTCTGTCCATTTAAAGTAATGGACATTCAGTAGCAATGAGCACATCTAGTATGCTAATCTTAGTTTCTAAAACCAGCACCAACTAAAAGATACCAGGAC